AGGCCGCCCGCTCCAGCCTCCCTTCCTGCAGGCCGCCCGCTCCAGCCCTACTCTAGTCTTGTTGACTGCTGTCCTCCAGTCAGACACTGCTTCCCTGCCGTATTTGCAACAGGAACCAGTTGGCACAGTGGCTCAGTATTCAGTACTGCTGTCTCAGTGCCAGGGACCTGGGTTTGATTCCACCCTCGGATGACTGTCTGTGTGGAGTTTGCACATTCTCACAATGTCGACATAGGTTTCCTCCCACAGTCCAAAAATGTGCAGGGTAGGTGGAGTGGCCTTGCTAAATTGCTCATAGTGGCCAGGGATGTGCAGGCTTGGTGGGTTAGCAATGGGAAATGCAGGGTTACAGGGATAGGGTAGGGGGGTAGTTCAGGATAGGATGCTCTTCAGAGGGTTGGCGTGGACTCAATGAGCCGAATGGCCTGCTTCCACATTGCAGGGATTCTATGATTCAGTCTGTGATAGGCAGAGCAGCTCCTTGCAGGTTCTGACTCCTCCACATACAGGGTGGTGTTTCTCTGATTGGTGCCTCCATGAGTGAATTTCCCTGATCAATCTTCCCACTTTTGGCAAGAATCCTCCCGCCACCTCCCCTCCCCTCCCCAACCCAGTGTATTTTGAGTGTTGCTGAGTTTACTGACCTCCTCTGGCTCCTGATTAAACAATATCTTGATTTCAAGTCTATTCTTTTTATGAGTTCCGACCATGGTCTTACCCCTCTGTTTCTCTGTAATCTCTTCCAGCACTACTACCCTCTGTGATATTTAACTCCTTTGAACAAGCTTTTGACCACGGGACATAGCATGTCTTTGTTCAGCTCAGTGTCATTTGTAATTTTACAATGCTCCTGTGAAGCGATGTGGGCCCTTTCATGACACTAAAAAGGTGAAATTAACAGCAGTTGTTCAATCAATTTCTCTCCCAGACATTGCTGTGGAAGCTAATGAGTCTTATAAAACAATCCACTTAATGTTTTGTTGGAGGCCATAAACATTTCAATGGAAGCCGGTCATTGTCTCCTTGTTTAGATGAAGCTGACTTTGATTTAAATATTGGCCAGGACAGTGTTGTAACTCACCTGGTCTTCTTCAAAACAGAGTGCCATAGTACCATTTACATTCACCAGGGGGAACACACAGGTTGCCAGTTTAAAGTGTTTCTGGAACAACATTTGTGACAGTGCAGCACTCACTCAATACTTCATTGACTGTCAGCCTCAATTTTTGTGCTTGGGTATCTGGGGGGACACTTGAACCCACAGTCTTCTGATTCAGCAGCATGGATGGTATTATTAATCCACCACTTGGACACTTTAAATAAGATTATGACTGATTGTGGGCTGTGCAAAATACCAGTTAACAATTAAATGTATTCAGGATGCTTACCGCAGTTTCTGAATTTTGCATTTTGACTTCCCCAGAGCTGTAGACAGAAGCTTCACTCCTGAATCACGTAATTTATTACGGCTCAGATCCAACTCGATCAGTGAACAGTTTGAACTGAGAGCACAGGCTAGATCCTTCATACTTGAAGCTGAGATCCCATTTTCAGAGAGGCTGGGGACCAAACAGTAGTAAGGGTATATATAAAATGCAAACGGACATTCATCACTGACCAGGTGTACCCTAGAACACTGTGGGAAGCTAGGGAAGTGATTGCTGGGCCCCTGGCTGAAATATTTGTACCATCGATAGTCGCAGGTGAGGTGCCACAAGACTGAAGGTTGGCTAAGATTGGTGCCATTATTTAAGAAAGGTGGTAAGGAAAAGCGAAGGAACTATAGACCAGTGAGCCTGACATCAGTGGTGGGCAAGTTGTTGAAAGGTTCCCGAGGGACAGGATTTACGTGTATTTGGAAAGGCAAGGACTGGTTAGGGACAGTCAACTTGGCTGTGTGCATGGGAAACATTGTCTCACTAACTTAAGGGACTGAGTTTTATGAAGAAGAAACAAAGACGATTGAAGAAGGCAGACCAGTGGACATGATCTATATGGAGTTCAGTAAGACGTGCAACAAGTTTCCTCATGGTAGACTGGTTAGCAAGTTTAGATCACATGGTATACAGGGAGAACTAGCCATTTGGATGCAGAACTGGCTTGAAGGTAGAAGACAGAGGATTGTGGTTGAGGGTTGCTTTTCAGACCAGCAGGGTGCCAAAAGGATTGGTGCTGTGTCCACTGCATTTCGTCATTTATATAAATGATTTGGATGTGAACTTGGAAATATAGTTGGTAAGTTTGCAGATGATACCAAAATTGGAGATGTAATTGATAGCTAAGAAGGTTGGAATAAGAAATAAAATATAGCTCTAAAAGTGCTAACACATTATCAGTAATCATGCTATTATTGAACATTGCATAGACCGTGCTTATTGCAAGCCTCTTACTGATACTAAAAATAACAGTCCGTTCTCAACCTCAAAATAAATCTCAGACTGGTACTTACCGCAGTTTCTGTACTTTACAGTTGGGATTGCCTAGAGCTTCAGACAGTGCTTTTACTCCTGAATCCCCCAGTTTATTATAACCCAGGTTTAGAATGGTCAGTGCTGGGCTTGCACTGAGAGTTGAAGCTAGATCCTCAGCACAAGAGGTTGTGAGACCAACTTCTTTCAGTCTGGCAACCAAGAAAGACAGATCATTTAAATGAGCATCTCAAAGATTATTAATAACACTGTTACTGATCCTTCTTAGTAAGAATATGCATCATACTACCAATAAGATAGCGTGTATTAAAACAATTACTGATGGTAATGTTTATGAATAGCACTTACTAAAAACAATGCTGTGTTTATTCATAGCATTAATGATTTAATAAGGAGGTGTCAGGTGCCTAGTTATGAGAACCCCAATCTCTCACAATCAGGTACTTACATCAATTCCCGTACTTTACTGTTTGGGTTCCTCAAAGCCACAGACAGCGGTTTCACTCCTGAATCTTTCAGCTCGTTATTACTCAGGTCCAAACTTGTCAGTGACTGGTTTGTACTGAGAACAGAAACAAGATCCTCGACACAAGAAGCTGAGAGACCGTCATCAGCCAAGCTGGAATTGAAAGACAGTACGGATCCAGATAAATCCTAGTGTTTGTTAATAATGCTATTATCGAAAGGAAAAATATGTAGACTGTCAGAAAATTAGTTATTACAAACACAGGCTGAGTTTGGTACTTACTGCAGTTTCTGTATTGTACAGTCAGGGTTCCTCAGAGCTACAGACAGTAATTTCAATCCAGAATCTCCCAGTTTGTTATTACCCAGATACAGCGCAGTCAGTGACCTGTTCATGTTGAGTGCAAAGGCAAGATCTCCAGCACAAGAATCTGTCAGGTTGTTTTCCTCCAGGCTGAAGAGAAAAGCAGGAGAGAGAAGGGCAGTTGGGGTGGTGACAGTGGAGGAGATGGTGCAGTAGACAAAGAAAAATAGCATCAGTGAGAGTAACTTCCCAATGTCTATTAAAATCATCATTATACTTTTAATAATGTACTGTATCTGAATCGATACAGAAACCATAGCAAAACATTCAAAGGTCGAAGACATTTAGGAGAGACAACAAGCTAGGAAAGGTGAAAGGGCAAATCTGTTACAGATGACATTGGTAGAATAGAAAGAGATGACTTTGTTCTAGAAGTCATGAATTTAGGCAGAATCTTATAATTGTATGAACAATGCATTCTTCAGTAGAATTTAGGAGGGAGGCAGTAGTGTAGTGGTATAGTCACTGGACAAGCAACCAGAAGCCCAGGCCAATGTTCTGAGGACGTGGGGTTTTGAATCTCACCATGACAGAGAGAAATTTGAATTCAATAACGAGCTGGTCTACCGTTGACCGTTGTAAAAACACATCTGTGGATCTCTGCAACTGATTCATCATTGACCTCTGGACTGGCTGCTGTGCAGCCAACAATCCGGTTCACCAATGCCCTTTACGGAAGGAAATGTGCGGTCCTTACCTGGCCCTGCCCACATGTGACTCCAGACAACAATGAGGATGACTTTGTTCTTTTCTCAAACACTCTAATCAACTAAGCACAGATAAAGGCAAAGAACTGTAGATGACTGTACTCAGATTTCCAAAAGATATTGGGCAAGGCATCACAGCAAAAGATTAAAATGCAATATAAGAGGTTGTTGTAATATATCAGCATGGATAAAGAATTAGTTATGACTCAGCAAACAGAATAGGCATGAAGCATCACTTTTGGGTTCGCATGATGTGATTGATAGATTTTGATTGGGATAAGTGCTTCAGGTTCTCAAATGTTCAGCTTGCATTAATGATTTGGATGAAGGAATCAAGAGTATGACTGTTTGCTGATAATGCAGAGATTTGGACCTAAGAAAGTTACTAAGAGATAGAAAGAATTTGCATAGGGACAAAGGCAAGTTAATAAGTGGGCAAACATTTGGCAGATGGAGTGTAATGTGGGTAAATGTGAACTTCAGCAGGAAATATAGAAAAGGGGCATATTATTTAAATGATAGATTACAGAACTCTGACATATGAGAATTTAGAGTTCCCTGATGCACCCACTGCAAAAAGGTAGGATGCAATAAAAGGGAGAGAAAGGTAGCAAATGGAATGCTGGTTATTGCAAGGGGATTGGATTATAGAAGTAGAAATGTTATGCTAGACTTGTACAGAGCATTGGTGAGAACACATCTGGAGTAATAGATGCAGTTTTGGACTTTTATTTACAAAAGGATGTAAATGATTTACAAACAGTTCAGAGAAGATTCACTTGACTTTATGATGAAAGGTTGGAGAGGCTGGGCCTGCATCCATTGGAGGTTACAAGAATGAAAGGTGATCTAATTGAAACATTTTATATCCTGAGGAAATTGACAGGGCGAATGCTAAAAGAATGTTTCTCCTTTGGAGAAAAGGGCATAGAGATTAAAAATAAGGGGTCTCTCGGTTAAGATGGAAATGAGGGATTTTGCTTCTCTCAGAGGGTCATGATTCTTTAGAACTAACTTCCTCAGAAGGTAGGCTAATTGGTAAGTTTAGGTCACATAGAATTCAGGGTGAACTTGCCAGTTGGATAAATAATTGGCTTAACGGCAGGAGAGAGAGACAGTATTGTTGGAGGGTTGGTTTTCCGACTGGAGGTCTGTGCCCAGCAGTGTTTCACAAAGATCAGTTCTTGGTCCGCTTTTGTTTGTCATTTACATAAGTGGTTTTGATGAGAATATAGAAGGCATTGTTAGCAAGTTTGCAGATGACACCAAAACTGGTAACACTGTAGGCAGTGAAGGTTTTCTAAAATTACAAAAGGATCTTGATTAAATGGGTCGATGGGCTGAAAAATGGCACATGGAATTCAATCTGGATAAATGTGAAGTATTGTGTTGTAAATGGCAGAACCTCTAGGAACACTAACATTCAGATGAATCTGGGCATGCAGGTCCACAGTCCCCTGAAAGTAGCAACACAGGTAGCCAAGGTGATTAACAAGGCATTTGGCATGATTGCCTGCATCACCCGGGACATGGAGTACAAGAGTTGGCAAAACATGTTGCATTCTGAAGAAGGGTCTAGGCCCGAAACGTCAGCTTTCCTGCTCCTCTGACGCTGCTTGGCCTGCTGTGTTCATCCAGCTCTACACCTTGTTATCACAGCTATATAAAACCCTTGTTAGGCTGCATTTGGAGTATTATGTGCAGTTTTGGTCACCATACTACCAGAAGATATGGAAGCTTTGGACAGAGTACAGAGAAGGTTGACCTGGATGTTGCCTGGTCTCCAGGGCATTGACTATGAAGAAAAGTTAAAAAGACGAGAATTTTTTTCATTGGAAAGATGGCGGCTGAAGGGAGACCTGATAGAGGTGCACAAAATTATGAGAGTCATACATAGGGTGGATAGATTTAGGCTTTTTCCCAGGATTGAAGTTTCAGTTACAAGGGGCCACAAGTTCAAGGTCAGAGGGGGAGAGATTGAGGGAGATGTGCGAGGGAAGTTTTTTATACCCAGAGTGGTAGCAGCCTGGAACGCACTCCCAGAAGAGGTGGTGGAAGCGGGCACATTGAAGATATTTAAGAGGTACCTAGATGGGTACATGAATAAGGAGGGAATAGAGGGATACGGATCAAAAAAAATGGCAGGTTTGTTTTTAGATTAATTCGGGCAAAATGATCGGCACAGGCCTGCAGGGCCGTAGGGCCTGTTCCTGTGCTGTACTTTTTCATTTGTTCATTTGTATTACATTTTGAATAATAAACAAGGGTAGATTAATGGTAGGGCCTTGGGTAGTGTTGTAGAACTGAAGGACCTGGGGGTGTACATACATAATTTTTTAAAGCTTGCGTCACATATAGACAGGGTGGTTATAAAGGCATTTGGCACGTTTGCCTTCATTGCTCAGTCCTTGGAGTATAGGAGTTGGGAAATCATATTAAGATTCTACAGGACATTAGTGAGGCCTCTTCTGGAATTCTGTATCCAGTTCTGGTCATCCAGTTGTGGGAAGGATACTGTCAAGCTGGATAGGGTTCAGAAGAGATTTACTAGGACGTTGTCAGATGTGGAAGGTTTGAGTTATAAGGAAAGGCTGGATAGGCTGGAATGTTTTTCACTGGAGCATAGGAGGTTGAGAGGTAACCTGATAGAAGTTTATAAAATAATGAGGGGTATAGATCAAGTTGATGGTAGTTGTCTTTTCCCTAAGATGGGGAATGTCAAGACTAGGGGGCACATTAAGATGAGAAGAGAGAGATTTAAAAAAGACGTAAGAGGCAAATTTTTTACACACAGGATGTTTCACGAGTGGAATGAATTTCCTGAGGCAGTGGTGGATGCAGGTACAATTACAACATTTAAACAACATTTGGATAAGTACACAAATAGTTTAGGTTTGGAGGGACATGGGCCAGGAGCAGGCACTGGCATCAGTTTAGTTTGGGATTGTGTACGGCATGGACTGGTTGGACTGAAGGATCTGCTTCTGTGCTGCATGACTCTGACTCTAGAAAGCACTGGCCAAAGTGTCAGTGAATATTTTTGAGGGAGAGATAGATGGATCTCATCTGATGAGGGACACAAAGATTATGACAGAGGGAGGAGGAAATGTGCAGTTGAAAGCACACACTCACATCAGCCTGCTCTTATGATGGGCAGGCCTGCGGAGCCTAATGGACAACTCCTGCCCTAATTCATAAGTTTGCATGTGCAGATACTGTGTGCTTTATCCAGCATCCAGTTTTTGGTAAACAATTTCACATAATCTCTTAACTTACCTCAGTTCTTCTATTTTACAGTCAGGATTCCTCAGAGCTGCAGACAGTAATTTCACTCCTGAATCTCCAAATTCATTAAAACTTAATCTAAGCATGAGAGTTAGAAACAAATTAAATCAAACCTTAGATAAAACTTAAATCACAGCAATTTACTGTAGATGCTGGAAATCTGAAATAAACAGGAAACGCTGGAGAAACTCAGGAGGTCTGGCAGCAACTACAGAGAAGAGAGAGAGAGAGAAAAAAAAAAAAAAAGAGTTAACATTTAGAATCCAGCATGACACTTTTTCAGAACTGGACAGTACTTGTTTATCGTGGATATTGCAAACGCATTAAAAAGAGTTTAAAAAGATAATGAGATAACAAGGTGTAGAGCTGGATGAACACAGCAGGCCAAGCAGCATCAGAGGAGCAGGAAAGCTGACGTTTCAGGTCTAGACCCTTCTTCAGGGTAAAGGATGTTCTGTTTCCACTAGTTGATGTGTCAGTAACAATTTCAACACTGACATCAAGAGACTAGGAGTGAGATGAGTGAGATGAAGAAGGGTCTAGACCCGAAACGTCAGCTTTCCTGCTCCTTTGATGCTGCTTGGCCTGCTGTGTTCATCCAGCTCTACACCTTGTTATCTCAGATTCTCCAGCATCGGAAGTTCCTACTATCTCTTAAAAAGATAATGAATGGCTTTTCCTGTCACTAGCAAACAATATCATTCTACACAACTTTCTATATGTTCAGAAATTATCAAATAAATGCAGTTTTTAAATCCTTCAAATGGCCTCAGTCTATTTTGACTTGCTGATGTCAAAATTAATATACTAGATCTTAGCAATTAATAACTTATAAAGTTTGAGGAATTTTGCATTTTTCTTGCTAATGTATAAATCCGAGATTTTTGTGCAATAGACCAAAATATTCCTTAAAGTTCACAAAGATCTATTTTAGATTCTCCTACCCGAAGGAATTAGTAATGGATTTTTATTCATCACAAAATTACTAATTAGAATTATAGAATTTTACAGTACTGAAGGAGGTCATTCAACTGTGTCTGTACCAGCTCCTGAAAAAGCTACCCATCTAATCCCATTCTCCAACCCTATCTCTGTAGCCCTTTAAATTAATCACTTTCAAATAAACATCCAGTCTCTTTTGAAACCTTCCATGGAATCTGCCTCCACCACTCTCCCAGGCAGCATATTCCAAATCGTCTCTGAAGAGAGAAGTTTCTCCTCATCTCGCTCCTAGCTCTCTTGATGTCAGTGTTGAAATTGTTACTGACACATCAACTAGTGGAAACAGAATATCCTTCTTTACCCTGTCAACATTGTTCATTGCAACGTAGGCTGCATCCTATTCTCTACCTGGACAGCCGACAGCCTTTATAGAATCTCTTCTTTATCTACCAGTGTACTGCTCAGTTGCTCAAAAGAGCCATTGTCATGTTCTAATTTGGTAAAGACAGAACAAAGTACTCATAACTCTGCCATTCCCTTTGCTTCAGCGAGTAGCTGAACCTGCTTACTGTTTATGGGCCCCACTCTACCTTTCACTCGTCTTTTATTAAAATTAATGTATTTGAAGAACATTTCATGATTTGTTTTAGTGCAGCCTGACATCCATTTCTCATGCTTCCTTTCAGCCTTCCTTATTCACGTCTTAGACTTTGAGATACTCTTCCTGATTTCTGTTGCTATCATCATTCTGGTATACAGCATATGCCTTTTTTCCTTATTTTCTCAACAATATTCTTAGTTATTCAGGGTACAGTAGATTTGGATACCTCATTTGTTTCTCATGGGTATGAACCTAGCTTGCACCTTATTCATCTCCCTTTGAAATTCTCCCATTTCTGATCCACTATTTTATTCACCAAAGTGTGTTTCCAATCAACTAGTTCCGGTTCAACTTTTAGACCCCCAAAATCTGCAATTTTCCACCTTGACTGGTTTTTAATCATTTCCAACTTAATATTGAATCTTATTATATTATGATCACTGTTACCCAAATACACCCCACTCTGACACTGTCCACTTGACCTGCCTCATTTCCTTGGACCAGAGTCAGCACAGCTCCCTCCAACGTACGATTGGAAATTTACTGTTCCAGAAAGTTCTTCTGCACACATGGCAGAAATTTCTCTCCTCCTGTGGCCTATACTCTACCTTTTTCCCAGTTTACCCTTTGGTAAACAAAATCACCAAATATCACAGCTCTACTTGTCTCCATAATCTACCTACAAATGCTCTCTTCTACTTTCTTCCCACTATTTGGAGGTCTATAATAAGTACGCAACAAGGCCACCTCCAAACATACACATTCTCAAGCAGGAACTGCATCTTATTCAAAAGTTATGATGTTAACTTTAACCAAGATTGCTACACCTCCTCCCGTTATATGCACCATTTCTATGAGAAATCTTCTAATCCAGATTAAGTACCCAGTCCTGTTCTGACTTGTCAACGCTATTAGGTCATATCTACCTACAGCAATTGCTGCTTCCAGTTTCTCAATTTTGTTCACAATACTCCGTGCATTTACATACATACAATTTAACCCTGGCCTCCTCTCTTTCTTGCCCATTGGAAGGTGACCATTGCTTTGTTCACTGTTAACACTCAATCTTCTATCACTTCCTTTTCCCTGTTTCCCCATCTTTTCTCATTTCCTTCACTGGAACTTTCAAAGCATTGGTCAACCCATCTGCTGCCTTTCAAGTTTAAATCCACACCCACACTATTTACTCTCTCAGCCAAAGGATTATTTCATTTCTGGTCCAATGAAGCCAATCTCTTCTGAACAGTTTTCTCCTTTGCCGAAACTGATCCCAAAGTCCCAAAAATCTGAACCCAATCCCCCACCACCCCACCTTGTCCCCATACCATCCCTCAAGCCACACATTTACCTCCCTGATCTGCCTTTGCCTAAATGGTGAAATTCGTGGCATAGGTAATATTTCTGAGATTAACACCCAGTGGTCCTGCATTTTAATCTACTCCTGAAACTGATCCTGCAAGTCCTCCCCATGTTATTGGCTCCCATATGAACCACAACCACTGGTTCTTCACACTCCCTTTCCAAACATTTTATGTTATATCCCGAATCCTTGTATCCAGAAGGTAACAGACCACACTGGGCTCGTGACCTTGCCATAATCTAGAATGCGAAATATCGTATCACCCACCACCACTATCTTTCTAATGTGCCTCCCAGGTAATCTCTCTCTCTCTCTCTCTCTCTCTTCCCAGCATAGCCTCGAGCACCATGGTATTGAGGTTTCCCCCAAGCTATCCACTTATTTACTTTTGGTTGCTTTCTGGCTTAGCCGATCTAGAATTTTATAATTATTCACTCATGGGATGTGGACATTGCTGCTGGGCCAGCACTTTATTGCCACTCCCTAGTTGCCCTTGAGAAGATGGTGGTAAGCTGCCTTCTTGAACCACTGCAGTCCACTGCTTTAGGTTGACCCACAATACCCTTAGGGAGAGAATTCCAGGGTTTTGACCCAGCAACAATGAAGGAATGGTGATATACTTCCAAGTCAGGATGGTGAGTGGCTCGGAGTGGAACTTGCAGGGTGTGGTGTTCCCAAGTATCTGCTGCCCTCACCCTTCTAGATGGAAGAGGTTGTGGGTTTGAAAGATGCAGTCTCATGATCTTGGGGTCTAAGGGTCTAAGGCCTGTACCCAGAGAATTCAATCAAAACAAGACTTTTCAACAATTTGCTGAATAGCTAGGGGAAAAAAAATCATTACCTCAACGCACGACATTTGTGGAGTATGGGATTCAGCCGCTGCAGTCCTTCATACTGAATATAACAATTCCGCATGTCAAGGCATCTTATTGAATCACAGAATTCAATGACATGAGACAGGACCAGATAGTCAATTGGTGTCAGTCTCAAATAACACAATGTAAGTTTTTCTGCAGATTCCATAATTTCCTGCAGCAGTTTCTTATTCTGAGACTCAAACATGTAGTGCAATGTGTTCAAGAGATTTCTTGGATCAAGTTTATTTGCTGAGTTTCTAATCTGTTCCCCAACCATCTCCTTCACCCAATCAATCACTTGACAGATTATCTTGTGACAAAATGGACCAAGAACCTTTGCCAGAGGCTTGGATGACTGAGGAGAAGAAAGACCAATAACAAAACGAAGAAATATCTCAAACCGCCCATCTTCCATTCTGTGTGCATCACTGAGGAGTTTTTGCATGTCCCCAGAATTTGAAGTGAGGAACTGTGCAAGTGCAGCTACGAATTCTTGGATGGTGAGGTGTGGGAATGTATAAACTACACTGTGAACAGAATCATCTCTTTCCAATAGTTCCATTAGGAACCCAGACAGGAACTGGGAGGGTTGCAGATTGTACTGGATCAAGTCTTCATTTGTAAACACAATCTTCTTCTCAGAGATTCCAGTGAAGGCCATCTCACCAAGCTTCAGTAACACATCACGGGGGTTTTCAATCTCTCGGCCATGGTTTTCCAGAATGTTGTAAATATAGTAGGCATATAGTTGGGTGATGGTCTTGGGAACGTGCTTCTGTTTCCTGTCTCTTTGTGTGAAGAAGGGACCCAGTGACAGGGCAAGGATCCAGCAGTACGAAGGGTTATAGCACATGGTGTACATGATCTCATTCTCCTCCACATATCTGAAAACAGCTGCTGCCACATTTTGATCTTTAAAACAATTGTTGAAATATTCCTTCCGCTCATCACCAACAAAGCCCATGATTTCAGCCCAGACACTGATCTCAGCCTTTTCCAATAAATGCAATGCGGTGGGACGAGTAGTTACTAACACTGAACATCCTGGGAGCAGCTTGTGTTGGATTAAACTGTATACAATGTCAGACACTTCACACCAGCATTCAGGATCTGTGCACATAGACTGAGGTTTTGTGCTTCTCTGATTGTCAGCAAAATCGATTCTGTCCTTGAATTCATCCAAACCGTCGAATATAAACAGCAGACCCTCTGGGTTCTTCCAGAGCTCTCCCAGAACATTCCCAAAGTAAGAATACTGATCCAATATCAGATTCCTCAGGTTAATCCTGCAGTTAATACTGTTTAAGTCCCGGAATTTAAAGCTGAAAACAAATTGAAAGTGTGGGTATATTTTGCCAACGGCCCAGTCATAAACAATCTTCTGCACTATTGTTGTTTTCCCAATCCCTGGGACTCCACTCACCACTGCTGAACTCCCTGAACTGGATTGCCAAAATAAGTTCCTTACTTTCTGGAGCAAAAATCCTACCCAGGAAAAACTGCTCTGGAACAAGTGATCAATACGGATTTTTTCTACTTCTCTCTGGAGATGTTTTTCTCTCCACTCGTCATGGTCTCGGCCTCTTGCTAGCAGTTCATGCTCTACAAGTGTCCAGTTTCGAACAGCAGAAATGAGCGTTAGCTCAGTGTATTGATCAACCAGCTGGAAAGTCTTCACTTTCTCCTTTATTAGAATTGGGTCTACTCGCAGTGTTTCAGTTTGTACCTGAAGAGCCTCCTTGTGTTTCTTCTGAACAGCTTCAATTAGATAGAAAGTGGTTGTCAATATTAGTCATGCTGGAATTAAAAAAAAACTTCCCTATTCCACTTTGTAAAATAGTGAACTACTGTAGCATTTAAATATGAACCTTTACTGGACCTGTGATTTATGTTAAATCTCAGTTAATGGAAACCTCATGGATAAGACAAAAAATGTTCAATAACTCATTTAATTCCAGTATTTTACGAAATACTCAATCACTCATGGTTAATACTAGCAAGTATATCTCACTACACATTTTAATAAATGATTCTAGCTTGATGAAGATTTATTGCTCAGTTCTAAGTGGTTTTTGATAACCAGCAGGAAATTTCCTTACCCATGCTTTATCTGATGCCATGAGATTTCATGGTGTCAGGAATCAATTTGGAAGACTCCTAGGGCAACTCCCTCCTGACTGTACTCAACTGTGCTACTTCCCCTGTAGGAACGGTGATGATGCGTTATGACTATGTCCAAATTTTGAATGATCCTGCGGATGATGGTAAAGAGGGCTTTGCAGCATTGACAGGTCCAAGTTTGTTGTTCTTGCTTCAGATTCCAGCTCAATGCCAGATGGTCTGTCTGGGTTATTCCTTTTTTTGAGGCTTTGTAGTGGTATGATCAAAATGAGCAGATTGCTTGGCCATTTCAGAGGGGCAACTATGAGTCAATTACATTGCCGTAGGACTGGAGTCACACATTACAGTATTAATCACAGCAAATATAATTCCCAAAGAAACACACTGGTGAACCAAATGGGAATTAATGACAATTAGTAATGGTTTCATTATGAGACTTTTAATTAGTTAATTTGAATGAAAACAATCTAATGTCTTGAATTCAACTCAATTTATTTCAAATCAGCTGCTTTGAGAGCATTACCTGCATTTCTGGATTAATAGTCCAGCAATAATATCACTACGTCATTGTCTTCCCAAGCTTTTATATGTACACTTTGTGGGCTGCTAGAGGAATTTCTCTCTGTAACAGGGACATGACTGCCCTGAGATATTCCTTAGTTTTGGATTTGATTTATTACTGTCACATGTACTAAGGTACAGTGAAAAGTACTGTTTTGTTCGCCATACAGGGAAATCATACCTTACCTAAGTATATCAGGATAACAGAACAGAAAGCAGCTACAGAGAACGTGCAGAGAAAGATTAACTTTAAAATATTCCAAAGTCTATAACCGTAGGAAAAGGCTGTTCTTCAATCTGGTGTCAGATTTCAAACTTTTGTATCGTCTGCCCGACAGAAGAGTGTGGGAGAGAGTATAACGGGGTGGGAGGGGTCTTTGATTATGTTGGCTGCTTTTCCAAGTCAGCGGGAAATGTAGACGGAGTCAATGGGAGGAATGCTCGTTTTCGTGACGGACTCGGCTACGTTCACAATTCTCCGCAATTTCTTGCGGTCTTGGACAGAGCAGCTGCCATACCAAGCTGTTGTGCATCCATACAGGATGGTTTCTATGGTGCATCTATAAAAATTGGAAAAAGAGTCTTTGTGGACATGCCAAATTTCCTAAGCCTTTTGAGGCAGTAGAAGCATTGGCGTGCTTTCTTGACCATAGCACCAACGTGGATGGACAGAAGACTGTTGGTGATATTCACTCCAAGGAACTTGAAGCTCTTCATCATCTTCACCTCATCCGTTGATACAGACAGGCACGTGTCCTCCATGCTGCTTCCTGAATTGATGACTAGCTGCTTCCATTTGCTGATATTACGGGGAACGAGTTTAATGTCTTTACACCATGCCACTAAAGTCACTTTCCTGTACTGCCTCATCATTCTTTAAGATCCAACCCACTGTGATGGAGTTATCAGCAAACTTTTAAATGGAGTTAGAGTAGAATTTATAATTGTTCACAAATCTTTAAATAGATTTTTCAGCTGTTTCATGCATTCAACAAGTAACTCTGTTGATGCAATGTCCTTTCAAACTAAATGTATTTGAGTCAAAAATAAAATGACTCCACGCTTCACTAAGTATATTCTTAAAATAGAAAGCATTCAACCTGTAGCACCATTCTGTTGATTAAATTTTTTTCCGAGTTTTCTACAATGCAATGTTGGAAATTAGAAAATATTTTTCCATAAGTCATTGAATTGCACCAAAGAAAGGATAACGATTTGAGCAGAAGAATTTTCACCCTGCATATATGAACTATTTTACGATCAATGTGAAAAGAGATAAAAATGTCCTCATCACCAAGAACATTATTTTCATGGCATTTTTTCCTAGATTAGTGCCCGATTGTGAGCAAACTTGAGAGGTGACTAAAATGTTTCTGACAATTTGTTCTGTAAGGGGCAACTGCAGACTCAAAACAACGTGCACAGGTCGAATATCCATATAGTAAACATGACAATGATGCAAAAATATTTTTTAATATCATAAGAAGGGGATTGCACAGTGTACTAGACTCCTGCCAGGCATGTATAGTGTTTCATGGTGTACCAGAATCCTGCCAGGCGTGCACAGGATTTCACAGTGCATCAGGTTCCTGCCAGGCATGCACGGGGTTTCACAATGCGTCAGGATCCTGTCCTGTGCGTGCGGGACTTCACAGTGCGTCAGGATCTTACTGGGGTCTTTGACCCAGAGACAGTGAAGGAACAGCTGGAGAAGAACTCGGAGGTGGCGGTGTTCCCATCTATCTGCTGTCCTTGACCGTTCAGTTGGTAGTGATTGTGGGTTTGGAAGGTGCTGTTTTTGGTGAATTTCTGCAGTACATCTTGAAATGTTAGTTTTGAATGCCAGAGAGGTGTTGAGATTCAAGGTGAATTTCTTCAGTACATCTTGAAGATCACACACAATGCTGCCACTGAGTGTCAGTGATGGAAGAAGTGGACGAGGTTTTAATCAAGCAGGTTGCCTTGTCCTGGGTGGCTTCTTTAAGTTTCTTAATTGTTGTTGGAGCTGCACTCATCCAGGCAAGTCGGGAGTATTTCATCACACTCCTGATTAGTGTCTGGTAGATGGTGGACAGGCTTTGGGGAGTCAGGAGGTGAATTACTTACCCGAGAATACATAGCTTCCGACCTGCTCTTGTAGCCACGGTGTTCACATGGCAAATCCAGTCAAGTTTCTGGTTAGTGGTAATCTCAAGGATTTTGATAGTGGGGAATTCAGTGATGGTAACACCACTGAATGTCAAGGGGTGGTGACAAGATTAGAAATGATCATTGTCTGGCATTTGTGTGGTGCACATGTAACTTGAGACTTGTCAGTTGAAGCCTTGATACTGTCCAAATCTTGTTGCATTTTCACATGGACTGCTTCATTATCTGAGGTATTGCAAATGGTGCTGAGCATGGGGCAATCATCAGCAAACACTGCCACTCCTGACTTATGATGGAGGGAAGATCATTGACGAAACAGCTGAAGCTGGTTGGGCCTTGGACACTACCCTGAGGAAGTTCTGCAGAGATGTCCTGGAGCTGAGATGACTGACCTTCAACAAACATGACCATCTTCCTATGTGCCAGGTAGGATTCCAACCTGTGGAGAGCTTGCCCTCTGATACCCATTGATTCCAGTTTTGCTACTGCTCCTTGATGCCAAACTCAGTCGAATGTGGTCTTAATGTCAAGAGCCATCACTCTCACCTCACCTGAAATTCAAGCTCTTTTGTCCATGTTTGAACCAAAGCTGTAAATGAAGTCTGGATCTGTGTGGCCCTAGCAAAACCCAAACCGAGTGTCACTGAGCAGATTATTGCTGAGCAGGTCCTGCTTGATAGCAACGTTTGATGACACCTTCCAACATTTCACTGATGATCAAGACTGTTCGAGCGGAAATTGGCTGGTTGGATTTGTCCTGTTTTGTGTGTACAGGACATAGCTGGGCAATTTCGCACATTATCAATTAGATGCTGTGTTGTGACTATACTGGAACAGTTTGGCTAGGGGAGCAGCAAGTTCTGGAGCACAAGCTTTCAGTACTATTGCTAGAATGTTGTTTAGGCATATAGCCTTTGCAGCATATAGTGCCTTCAACCATTTCTTGATATCATGTGGAGTGAATCGAATTGGCTGAAGACTGTTATCTGTGATGCTGGGGAGCTATGAGGAGGCTGAGATGGAATATCCAGATGACCCTTCTGGCTGAACATTGTAGTGAATGCTTCAGCCTGACCTTTTGCAATGATGTTTTGGGCTTTTCCGTCATGAAAGATGAGGATATTTGTGAAGCCTTCTCCTCCAGTGAGTTGTTCAATTGTCCACCACCATTCACAACTGACATGGCAGGACTGCAGAGCTTAGATCTGCTCCTTTGGCATTGGGTAATGTCACTCAATTAGCAATCCAGAAACCTGGGCTGATGTTCTGGGGGCATGGATTTGAATTCCACTATGGGAGGTGATAAAGTTTAAATTCAATAATAGTCTGCACTTTTGAAATAGCGAATGTGCTGATGACTACGTAACCACAGTCAACTGTCACAAAAACTTATTTAGTTTACTAGTGTGCTTTAGAGAATAAAATCCATACTCTTTACCTTGTCTGACCTACGTGTGACTCCAGACCCACACCACTGCAGTTCACTCTTAACTGCGTTTTGGGCAAAAATGCTGGCCTAGTCAATGAAGCAAACGTCCTAAGCTCATACATAAAAAATCCTGTATAAGATAAGATTCAAAGTAGACGTGATAAACAGTTTGATTTGATGAAATATCACAACATTTACATTTTTACAACATATGATTCATGTAGGTTGAATCTCTTCAAAACAGTTGACAATGTGGGATGGCTATGAATAATTTTGAATTGAGTTTCCCAGGCTCTGAACATTTGATAAGCAGATTTTGAAACACCAAACCTCTACAATCAAACATTTTCGGAAGCGAAATAAAACAATTTGAAATGTCCATTTCTTTACCTCTTACCTTTCAGGTTGCTGGGGACTTCAGATAAACCTTGGGCCATGTTCATTCTATCAAATGGTTCAAAACCTGTTTTAAATCATTTAGATTCCATGAAATCAAATCTTTGTAACATTTTAGCAAAATCTACAGCATTGGAATCTGAAATTGAGTTCACTGTGATTTAACCATACCAAGTTCCTGTATTTCGTTAAGTATTTTATCCAACTTCGGTAACCTATGGCACATTTTCACAAAGCATTCCCACATCATCCTTCGAGCCACAGAGCCTTTCCCCATCACCAGATTTAGGAGAAGTTTGGAACTGTCTGCTCGGTTTCCATTCTCCATGAGCTCAATGACTTTCTGTAAAAAATATCAATAAATATATTGAGGAGTAGAATGAGAGATAGAGACCGTGAATGAGACTGAAAGGATCTGCTCAGTGATGGCATTCCAAAGTTGTATTGAGCATAGAAAACAGCCACTAGATCGGGTCCGAATCAATTCTGACCATCACGTCAACATTCCGCAAACATTTTAGGAACTGGGATCAGAAGGCTATTCAGCCTTTTGAGCCTGTTGCACGCTTCAAGTTAGAGCTCATTTTTCAGATCAAAAACCATTCTTCTGGAAAATGCTTCACTGGATAAACTCATACCTGGTGCAAAGGAACATGGCTGTCCTGTAGGAGAACAATTATCTCAGGTCCATGCATCACTGCAAGTGTTTCTTAGGCATGAACCCTTGGAACAATCATCTTTTACAGTGTGCAACAAGACTCAGACAGAAGCAGGCACAAGTGAAAACAGTACTCATGACACAATGTTTTCCACAAATGACACCTCCAATAACCTAATCGTTTCTTGACATTCAGGTCTATAGTCACCACTTCAACTTGCTTAATTCAACCTCAGACACCACTGATAAGGTGACGATCGGGAGATCTGAGGGAATGTAGAAAGTGAGAAGGAACAGAGATTTCCAATGATGTTGGAGAGTATTCAGAGATCAAAAGGTGTTTGAGGTTTACACAATGAATACAATTAAACTGGAGGAAGAGAATTTTAAATTGGAGTCACATGAGGACCATGAGCCAATCAGGTCAATCAAGCTCTCAAATGGTAGTTGAGCTACACACAAATGCGACAGGGTACAGGTAGAATTTTGGATCCACCAAAGTTTGACAGGTGGAGCAAGGTTGACAACAATACTATTAAATAATTTGAACTAATGGTGGCAACGTCGTGAATGAGAGTTTCATTAGTTGTGAGATTAAAATAGGAGTAACAATAGCCTTATGCAGGCAGAATCATGCAATCTTTGTCATGTAGAGGATACAAAATCACTCAGTTAAGACTAAACAAGACACAGAATTTGGAAAGTCAGGTGCAATTTAAACAATAGTTGAGGATGGAAATTAAATGCAATGGTGAAAGAAATCATTTTTTCTATAAAGTAAAAAGGTCATGATGTTAGGTATAACCAGCTTTGGCAAATAAGAAACCAAAGATCCTTAAATTCTTTAAGGACAAAAAAGAGTAACTAGGGAGAGAATAGGACCCTTAAAGATTAGCAAGGCTGCCTATGTGTAAAACTGCAAAAAAATGGGGGAGATACTAAATGAGTATTCTGCATCAGTGTTTAGTGTGGAGAAAGAAATGAAAGATAAGAGAATGTGGGGAAATAAATGGCAACATCTTGAAAAATGTCCATATTACAGAGGAGCTGGATGTCTTAAAATGCATAAAGGTGGATCAATCCCTGGGACCTAATCAGGTATACCCCAGAACTGAGGGGGAAGCCAGGGAAGGAATTGCTGGGCCCCTTTTTGAGATACAGCCACAGATGAGGTGCCAGAAGATTGAAGGTTGGCTAACGTGGTGCCATTATATAAGAAAAGTGGTAAGGAAAAGCCAGGGAACTATAGACTAGTGAGCCTGACATCAGTGTTGGAAAAGTTGCTGGAAGGAATCCCGAGGGGCAGGATTTATATGTATTTGGAAAGGCAAGGGTTGATTAGGGATAGTCAAAATGGCTTTATGTATGGGAAATTGTGTCTCACTAACTTCATTAAGTTTTTTGAAGTAACAAAGAGGATTGCTAAGAGCAGAGCAGTGGTCATGATCTATATGGACTTCACTAAGACGTTTGACAAGGTTCTTCATGGGTAGACTGGTTAGCAAGGTTAGATTGCATGGAGTACAGGGAGAGCTAGCCATTTGGATACAGAACTGGCTTGAAGGCAGAAGACGGGGGGGGGGGGGCGTGGTTTGGAGGGTTGCTTTTCAGACTGGAGGCCTGTGCCAGCAGTATGCCAAAATGATCGGTGCTGGGTCCACTGCTTTTTGTCATATAAATGATTTGGATACAAACATAGGAGGTATGGTTAGTAAATTTGCAGATGACACCAAACTTGGTGGAGTAGTGGACAGCGAAGATGATTACCTCAGAGTACAAGGGGGCCTTGATCAGGTGGACCAAGGGGCAGACAAGTGGCAGATGAAGTTCAATTTAGATAACTGTGAGGTGCTGCATTTTGGGAGGACAAATCAGGGCAGCACTTGTATACAAAGCAGAGTCGCAGGTAGACAGGACAGTGAAGGCAGCATTTGGTATTCTTGCCTTTATTGGTCAGTGCATTAAGTATTGGAGTTGGGAGGTCATGTTGCGGCTGTACAGGATATTGGTTAGTCTGCTTTTGGAATACTGCATGCTATTCTGGTCTCCCTGCTGTAGGAAGGATGTTGCGAAACTTGAAAAGGGTTCAGCAAAGATTTACAAAGGATGTTGCCACGGTTGGAGGGGTTGAGCTATGGGGAAGTGCTGAATAGGCTGGGGCTATTTTTGCTGGAGCGTAGGAGGCCGAGGGGTAACCTTATAGAGGTTTATAAAATCATGAGGGGCATGGATAGGGTGAATAGAAAGGGACTTTTCCCTGGGGTTGGTGAGCCCAAAACTAGACGATACAGGTTTTCGTTCAGAGGGGAAAGATTTAAAAGGGATCCAAGGGGCAACTTTTTCCATCCGGGAGATGGTGTGAGTGTGGAATAAGCTGCCAGATGAAGTGGTGGAGACTGATTCAATTACAATCAAATAGGAAGGGGTTTAGAGGCAAATGAGACTAGATTTATTTCAGATATCGGGTTGGCATGGACGAGTTGGACCGAAGGGTCCGTTTCTATTGACAAGGAAAAACAAACAAACTCAATAAATAGGGAATATTTTGATCAACTTAAGTTATTAACTTGCTCTTGTTCAACTTTTTGGAGTTTTTTGTACTCGAGGCTGCTCCTGGTCAAGTCTTGACAAAGAACAGTATCCTTGACAGAGCACCAAGAACCTGTATGACCACACCTAGCTATTAAGTATCCCCATCAGGTTGAAGAATTGTGAATGAGAATTTCAAAGTCTACCTGGGAAATTAGAATATTTAAGTCAATGTCCATTCAGCTAC